CATCTTGGATCACCGGGGCTTGGTTCCAGGTCAGGCTCAATTTTGTCGTAGAATACCAGGAAAATAAACAATCACATGTTTTAAATCATTTGCTAAGTCGTTCCAAAGACTGATAAGGGTCTCAAAGCGGTCATCAAAGCACTAGTGCGACTGCAGGTTTTGGGTGGAGTCTGGTGTGCTCCTGCTTGGTTGGAATGAAAACCTGCAGCCACACTGGCCCTTTTGAACGGTCTTTAATAAACAGCGCTACACTGGTTAGAGCTCGTCTCCGTTCCCTGTTCGACGTTGAACCGGAAGCGATTCCATGTAAAATGTTGTAAATGATTTGTCGAAGGCTGTCGGAGCTGTCAAAGCCTCAGAATATGATGCATTTTCAGAATCAATCTTCAGACTCAGACACTGCGGCAGCTTTCCATCACAGCTCTGAGTTTGGCTTTGATTGACAGCTCATGGTCCCGCCCTCTTTAAGGGTTCAGTGAAAATACAGCAGAATGTTACGGCACGAAACAAAAACAGATAACGCCAGTTTTTCCATTTGTTCAATGTACAAACGCAACAATGTACAGTGGTCCCTCGTTATCTGGTCTCTCTCTGGTCTCTCTCTCTCTCGTCTTTCCCTGGTCTCTTTCTGGTCTCTCTCTGGTCTCTCTCTGGTCTCTCTGGTGTCTCTCTGGTCTCTCTATGGTCTCTCTGGTGTCTCTCTGGTCTCTCTCTGGTCTCTCTCTGGTCACTCTCTGGTCTCTCTATGGTCTCTCTGGTGTCTCTCTGGTGTCTCTCTGGTCTCTCTATGGTCTCTCTGGTGTCTCTCTGGTCTCTCTCTGGTCTCTCTCTGGACTCTCTCTCTTGTCTCTCGCTCTGGTCTCTCTCTGGTGTCTCTCTCTGGTCTCTCTCTCTGGTCTCTCTCTGGTCTCTCTCTGGTCTCTCTCTCTGGTCTCTCTCTCTGGTCTCTCTCTGGTCTCTCTCTCTGGTCTCTCTCTCTGGTCTCTCTTTGGTCTCTCCCTGGCCTCTCTCTGGTCTCTCTCTCTGGTCCCTCTCTCTGGTCTCTCTCTGGTCTCTCTCTCTGGTCACTCTCTGGTGTCTCTCTGGACTCTCGCTCTGGTCTCACTCTGGTCTCTCTCTGGTCTTTCTCTCTGGTCCCTCTCTGGCCTCTCTCTCTCATCTCACTCTGGTCTCACTCTGGTCTCTCTCTCTGGTCTCTCTCTGGTCTCTCTCTCTGGTCCCTCTCTCTGGTCTCTCTCTGGTCTCTCTCTCTGGTCACTCTCTGGTGTCTCTCTGGACTCTCGCTCTGGTCTCTCTCTGGTCTTTCTCTCTGGTCCCTCTCTGGCCTCTCTCTCTCATCTCACTCTGGTCTCACTCTGGTCTCTCTCTCTGGTCTCTCTCTGGTCTCTCTCTCTGGTCTCTCTCTGGTCTCTCTCTCTGGTCTCTCTCTGGTCTCTCTCTCTCTCTGTTCCCTCTCTCTGGTCTCTCTCTCTGGTCTCTCTCTGGTCTCTCTCTGGTCTCTCTCTCTGGTCTCTCTCTCTGGTCTCTCTCTCTGGTCTCTCTCTCTGGTCTCACTCTGGTCTCTCTCTCTGGTCACTCTCTGGTCCCTCTCTCTGGTCTCTCTCTCTGGTCTCTCTCTCTCTCTGGTCTCTCTCTGGTCTCTCTCTCTGGTCACTCTCTGGTCTCTCTCTCTGGTCTCTCTCTCTGGTCTCACTCTGGTCTCACTCTGGTCTCTCTCTCTGGTCTCTCTCTCTGGTCTCTCTCTGGTCTCTCTCTTTGGTCTCTCTCTGGTCTCTCTTTGGTCTCTCTCTGGTCTCTCTCTCTGGTCTCTCTCTCTGGTCTCTCTTTGGTCTCTCCCTGGCCTCTCTCTGGTCTCTCTCTCTGGTCCCTCTCTCTGGTCTCTCTCTGGTCTCTCTCTCTGGTCACTCTCTGGTGTCTCTCTGGACTCTCGCTCTGGTCTCACTCTGGTCTCTCTCTGGTCTTTCTCTCTGGTCCCCCTCTGGCCTCTCTCTCTCATCTCACTCTGGTCTCACTCTGGTCTCTCTCTCTGGTCTCTCTCTGGTCTCTCTCTGGTCTCTCTCTGGTCTCTCTCTCTGGTCCCTCTCTCTGGTCTCTCTCTCTGGTCTCTCTCTGGTCTCTCTCTGGTCTCTCTCTGGTCTCTCCCTCGTCTCTCTCTCTGGTCTCTCTCTCTGGTCTCTCTCTGGTCTCTCTCTCTGGTCACTCTCTGGTCTCTCTCTCTGGTCTCTCTCTCTGGTCTCACTCTGGTCTCTCTCTCTGGTCTCTCTCTCTGGTCTCACTCTGGTCTCTCTCTCTGGTCTCTCTCTCTGGTCTCTCTCTCTGGTCTCTCTCTGGTCCCTCTCTCTGGTCTCTCTCTCTCTGGTCACTCTCTATTCACTCTCTGGTCTCTCTGGACTCTCGCTCTGGTCTCGCTCTGGTCTTTCTCTCTGGTCCCTCTCTGGCCTCTCACTCTGGTCTCACTCTGGTCTCTCTCTCTGGTATCTCTCTGGTCTCTCTCTGGTCTCTCTCTGGTCTCTCTCTGGTCTCTCTCTCTGGTCTCTCTCTGGTCTCTCTCTCTGGTCTCTCTCTGGTCTCTCTCTCTGGTCTCTCTCTCTGGTCTCTCTCTCTGGTCACTCTCTGGTCTCTCTCTCTGGTCTCACTCTGGTCTCTCTCTCTGGTCTCTCTCTCTGGTCTCTCTCTCTGGTCTCTCTCTGGTCCCTCTCTCTGGTCTCTCTCTCTGGTCTCTCTCTCTCTGGTCACTCTCTATTCACTCTCTGGTCTCTCTGGACTCTCGCTCTGGTCTCGCTCTGGTCTTTCTCTCTGGTCCCTCTCTGGCCTCTCACTCTGGTCTCACTCTGGTCTCTCTCTCTGGTATCTCTCTGGTCTCTCTCTGGTCTCTCTCTGGTCTCTCTCTGGTCTCTCTCTCTGGTCTCTCTCTGGTCTCTCTCTCTGGTCTCTCTCTGGTCTCTCTCTCTGGTCTCTCTCTCTGGTCTCTCTCTCTGGTCACTCTCTGGTCTCTCTCTCTGGTCTCACTCTGGTCTCTCTCTCTGGTCTCTCTCTCTGGTCTCTCTCTGGTCCCTCTCTCTGGTCTCTCTCTCTGGTCTCTCTCTCTCTGGTCACTCTCTATTCACTCTCTGGTCTCTCTGGACTCTCGCTCTGGTCTCGCTCTGGTCTTCCTCTCTGGTCCCTCTCTGGCCTCTCACTCTGGTCTCTCTCTGGTCTCTCTCTCTGGTCTCTCTCTGGTCTCTCTCTGGTCTTTCTCTCTGGTCCCTCTCTGGCCTCTCACTCTGGTCTCACTCTGGTCTCTCTTTCTGGTATCTCTCTGGTCTCTCTCTGGTCTCTCTCTGGTCTCTCTCTGGTCTCTCTCTCTGGTCTCTCTCTGGTCTCTCTCTCTGGTCTCTCTCTGGTCTCTCTCTCTGGTCTCTCTCTCTGGTCTCTCTCTCTGGTCTCTCTCTCTGGTCCCTCTCTCTGGTCTCTCTCTGGTCTCTCTTTGGTCTCTCTCTCTGGTCTCTCTCTCTGGTCCCTCTCTCTGGTCTCTCTCTCTGGTCCCTCTCTCTGGTCTCTCTCTCTGGTCTCTCTCTCTGGTCTCTCTCTCTGGTCTCTCTGGTCTCTCTCTCTGGTCTCTCTCTCTGGTCTCACTCTGGTCTCTCTCTCTGGTCTCTCTCTCTGGTCTCTCTCTGGTCTCTCTCTGGTCCCTCTCTCTGGTCTCTCTCTCTCTGGTCACTCTCTATTCACTCTCTGGTCTCTCTGGACTCTCGCTCTGGTCTCGCTCTGGTCTTTCTCTCTGGTCCCTCTCTGGCCTCTCACTCTGGTCTCACTCTGGTCTCTCTCTCTGGTCTCTCTCTGGTCTCTCTCTGGTCTCTCTCTGGTCTCTCTCTGGTCTCTCTCTGGTCTCTCTCTCTGGTCTCTCTCTCTGGTCTCTCTCTGGTCTCTCTCTCTGGTCCCTCTCTCTGGTCTCTCTCTCTGGTCTCTCTCTGGTCTCTCTCTGGTCTCTCTCTCTGGTCTCTCTCTCTGGTCTCTCTCTCTGGTCACTCTCTGGTCTCTCTCTCTGGTCTCACTCTGGTCTCTCTCTCTGGTCTCTCTCTCTGGTCTCTCTCTCTGGTCTCTCTCTGGTCCCTCTCTCTGGTCTCTCTCTCTGGTCTCTCTCTCTCTGGTCACTCTCTATTCACTCTCTGGTCTCTCTGGACTCTCGCTCTGGTCTCGCTCTGGTCTTTCTCTCTGGTCCCTCTCTGGCCTCTCACTCTGGTCTCTCTCTGGTCTCTCTCTGGTCTCTCTCTCTGGTCTCTCTCTGATCTCTCTCTCTGGTCTCTCTCTCTGGTCCCTCTCTCTGGTCTCTCTCTGGTCTCTCTTTGGTCTCTCTCTCTGGTCTCTCTCTCTGGTCCCTCTCTGGTCTCTCTCTCTGGTCTCTCTCTGGTCTCTCTCTCTGGTCTCTCTCTGGTCTCTCTCTCTGGTCCCTCTCTCTGGTCTCTCTCTCTGGTCTCTCTCTGGTCTCTCTCTGGTCTCTCTCTGGTCTCTCTCTCTGGTCTCTCTCTCTGGTTCTCTCTCTGGTCTCTCTCTCTGGTCACTCTCTGGTCTCTCTCTCTGGTCTCTCTCTGGTCTCTCTCTCTGGTCTCTCTCTCTGGTCTCTCTCTGCTCCCTCTCTCTGGTCTCTCTCTCTGGTCTCTCTCTCTCTGGTCACTCTCTATTCACTCTCTGGTCTCTCTGGACTCTCGCTCTGGTCTCGCTCTGGTCTTTCTCTCTGGTCCCTCTCTGGCCTCTCACTCTGGTCTCTCTCTGGTCTCTCTCTCTGGTCTCTCTCTGGTCTCTCTCTGGTCTCTCTCTCTGGTCTCTCTCTCTGGTCCCTCTCTCTGGTCTCTCTCTGGTCTCTCTTTGGTCTCTCTCTCTGGTCTCTCTCTCTGGTCCCTCTCTCTGGTCTCTCTCTCTGGTCCCTCTCTCTGGTCTCTCTCTGGTCTCTCTCTTTGGTCTCTCTCTCTGGTCTCTCTCTGGTCTCTCTCATTAAAGAATCCATGGTGTGTGTGTTGCAGGTGCAGTGGGCGGGGTGTGTGCTCTCGCTAACGTCCTGGGACCTCAGGTGTGTGATCTTCACTCTCTTTGTGTGAGCGGACGTTGGGACGAAGCCCTGTCTCTGCAGCAGCGGCTCATCGAACCAAACACAGCTGTGAGTATGAACTGAGGACAACAAACACACAAACACAAGCTTGTGAAAACTATTTGAATGTCATGACACACAGTTATAACGCAGTGTCTGGCCTTGTCCCGCTTGCGCCCCCTGCAGGTGACCCGGGGCCTTGGCGTGCCTGGTCTGAAGGCGGCGATGGAGTGGTTTGGTTTTCACGGAGGCTCGTGCCGCTCTCCTCTGCAGCCGCTCACCGAGGCCCAGACGCTGCAGCTGCGACAACACTTCTCCAACAACGGATGGATCTGAGTCTGAGGGAGACACAGGCAATTTGACGGCTTTTCATTTATATATTTATGGTCTTCAAAACTTTGTGACTTTTTCTGTTGTTGTAAGTAGTTTATAGCTGTGTAATTATGGTTTTGAAATGATCTCTATCCTGGACTGGTCCTAGACTGGTTCAGAGTAATCTCGGCTGGTTATGCTAGTTAGTTTAGTGCTAGTTACCATAGCAACACACGGTTTACTTGCAGCATTTAGCATTAAGTGTTGTTGTTTTAAAGAACGCACAAATTACCTAATTTTGATAAAAGTAGTAAAAAATGAAAACTGGTTTTTAGGATATTTTTCAGAATTCCATTATTTAAATAGAAACCGTCCAAATGCTCTGTGACTTCTATAGTTTCAATGAATTCTGGGAGATATTGTGTTAAATATTTCAAATATCTAAGATATTTTTATAAAAATAATGTCATCAAAAAATATGTTTTGTTTAAAAACATAGAATATTCAAGTTATAATGGAATACAAACGCAATCCCTATTAAATTGTTACCAAAAAAACTATTTTAAATTGTGGCTTTTGATTTCAGAATGCTCCTGATCACGACATGTTTGATTTGACTGAGAATAAGTCAGAAACAACATTTCTATTACACTGAAAGAATTCTCAAATTTGGCAATGAAAAAAGTTTTTATAATTAGACTAAATGGCTAATTATATTGTTTTAAGACAAAATATACAAAACATTAAATAAAAACAGTCAATATCACACCATTTTTATCTTATCATTTTTTACAGTGCACACATAGACATTCTTTTCTTTTCTCAGTCGATTGAAAAAGTTTTAATTAAAGGTCTGTAACTTAAACATACATATTTTTTGACCTCCCGACTCTCATAACTATTTGCTATTTCTGCTTTAAAGGTCAAAGGTCACAGGTTTCTTATGCTATTAACTTCAAGTCATTTTTCAAGTGTAAATAGTTGGCCGCCGCCGCCGTCTCTCTGCTCATAAAAGTCAAACGGCGGGTGAGTTGCTTCATAAATAAACGTCTTCTCTCGATGGCATGCTGCGTCGAGTGCAGGAAAGTTAAGAATTGTAATTGATTGACTGCGGAACCTTCCGCAGTCAACCATTGGTTTTGTATTTCTTTATTCCGTCATTTTTTTTGACACGTTTCACAGCTTTCACATTTTCAACAATTTCCACAAGTTATACATCAAAACGTTCCACATGTTTGGGAGATTATTGCTATTACTTTTGGGACTTCAGCGATTTCCGGTTTTTCCGCAATCGGACAAAAATCTGCATTGAGAATTCTGCAATGCATTTTAATAGGCCCATGCATTTTAATAGGACTTCAGCTCTTTCAGACATTTCTACAGTTTCAATGATTCAACAGTTTCAAGGATTCAACAGTTTCAAGGATTTCAGCAGTTTCAAGATTTCAAGAGTTTCAAGGACTTCAACA